AATAGGCCTCAAAATGAATAAAACGTGGCTGAGTTTATTAAAACATATTCTAAACATCTGCTTTTATTAGGTTTCAAAATATTACCATGTTTTAAAAAAAATGCCTCAAAATATTCAAAGTCATTTAAAAAATAACTCGATGTCATGTCACAGTTAATGTATCGCTGAGCAGATATGTTTTGCAAATAAAATAATGCACTAATTGTATATATTTAAAACATAACATAAAGGGGTAAAAAAATACCGCTTTCACAAAAAAAAACCAAAAAAACATTCTAAGCATATTCTTCTATTAATATTTGAAAACCGGCCCAGATAAAGTCATGTTGTTTACCATCTGATACCTCCGCACATCATTTTTAAAAGTCATTGCGCTCAATTCATTTCTCAGCTCACCCCCGAGAGAAGACAAAAACTGCCACCTCTGCACGCTCGATGGATGACACAAATGTATGCATGCTCTCGCTCATTGGCACCCACACTTATCGTGCACACACACACACACACACACGAGCGCACGCCAGCATGCATGCACGCAGACACACACACATCCACGCAGACACAAACAAGGCAGATGACACATGGTGTGTCAGCAGGCGCAGTTCTTTTGTCCTCTTGCTAGTTTTAGCAAAACAACTACTCTTGGAACACGTTTTGCTTTTGTTCGAAAGATGTATGAAGCCATTGTAAAAATATTGGTAGTATGGGGGTAATATTCTCCACGTTGTTAGCACTGTCTCGTTAAAACAGAGCTTTCTGCTGCGGTTGTACCATCCCAACGACTGAATTTATACACGGGACAAATGTAAAAGCAGAACAGTTGGACGTCGCTGCATTTTCTTGTGAAAATGTAACAATTTTCCAGTGGCCAAGGAAAACTGTGACAAAAATCAACCTGCGATTTGAACTGTTCTGAGTCCCTGTCTGTGACTCAGAGGGGCTTGCTCTTACTCACAGCCGCAGTGGCTGTATTTTGGCAAATATTTGGCTTTGGGTCTTTGAACTTTGCCTGAGCTTTCAATCATTCTCTCAGCAGGCGGAGTTTGAGTCATGGAATTATCATTTTTTAACAGGTATGATTCAGTGGCGATGAGCAGGCATGCATGTGCAAAGAAAAGCGAGCGCAGAAATGAAAGAAAAATTAAATGTTCTCTTGCATATTTATGCAATAGGCATTCTTTAGCTGCAGAAAAAAAAACCATGACATTCTAATCTGCTCTTCTGCTTGTTTAGTGCTGCTACTCGTGCGCCGTACAAATAGATCTCATCCAGCAAAGTCTGATCCTGCAGTTGCTGTGACTTCTTCATCCTGGGTGTGAGAAATGTGCAGCTGAAGGTGCTACACTGTGACCGGCCCGGACTGTTGTGCACCTTCCCAGTAACTGCAACAGCTTCACAAAGCGGCCATGTGACCACGTTGCCCATTTGTAGCCACGGCAGTGGTGGAAGATGCAATAAAGTGCTGAAAACGAAACATAAAAAAAAATTCTTACTATGTCTGACGTAGATCATGTGCAGTAAAATAAGACATTTTTTACCTGGAGGGCAAACAGATCTTTGTTCTCTTTATCTTTTGACAGCAAAGAAATGTCACAGAGCAGATTCAGCTTTTATAAATATTCTGGCTTTCAGCAGCACAAGTTGAACGTGAGTTCAGATATTTAGATATTACCCAAAGAAAGCAGAACAAGCTTGCGTAGCTGTTGCATCAGTCTTTAAAACTGTTGACTCTGTTGACTCTATTAGTGAGGAATTTTAGGTTCCCTAGAGTGCAACACGCCATTACAACAAATAGAAACCCTGGCGTACCTCAAGGACTTTCTGTTTGAATCAACCTTTCTTTCAAGAAATGAATGCGATCAGCCGTAAAGATAGTTCAGATTTAGGTTTAAAATGAACTCTGAAGGTTCTCACTGTGACACTGCCCTGATGTCCAAAAACATTTAGGTATGATAGAGTGGCAAAGTGCAAAATTGGGACAAAAAGCACCAAAAAGGTTTATAATAATCAACATCAAACTGTTGAACAGTTTGCAAGAACGGCCCTGTTACTCTTACTCTTGATTTAAAGTCTCAAAGTGCCCCCTAGTGGGCGTTTCCTGTCTCTACCCTGTGCTCGAGGCCTGGTGGACGTCTGACCTCACAATAAGGTCTTTTAAGTTCACCGTGCTAATTAAGAGGCCATTTTCATGCTGGTATTACAGGTTAACACTCAGTGCCTAACACAGTTTGAGTGCATTAGTTGTTCTTTGTGCCGTAACAAACAGCTAAGTGTCTGTGTGGGCAAACTGACTTCACAAATAACAAAACGCTCCAAAATCACATTTATTAGCTGCTGCTATGCACGCCAGAGTTAAATTAGGTGGTAAAACTCATACTAAGGTAAAACTATTAAAAACAAAATAAAAAATTCCAAGTGGAAGTCTTATTTTAGTTCAGAAAATGCTTTGGGGAATTTAAAGTCTGTTCCCATATTTGAGGCCACAGTGAAGCCGTAAATACCTACACAGGACTGCAATGCTAAATGCAAAGTGGATTTGCCATATTCCATTTGGAAAACTGTACTTCAAGCCACGTGGAGCACAAAGAAAGAGTTGGACAGCCCGAGCCAAGCAGCCTGATGAGACAGCGTGTCGCCCCATCTTTCCATAACTCCTTCCCACAACACAACCTGGCACCTTGTTCCACTGGCTGGCCCTGAAGGAAAACAATTACCAGGGAGGCGGAACAACAATAACCAGAAAACATCTGCTGGTGCCGGCGGGGCCCCGTCAGCGTGCCTGATTGTTTGTCCCTGCTGGCTTACACAGAGGACACATGCCTGTCTGGATATGGCTGAAGGGGCCTGAGTCTCCCTGCTTTAACCGGCAGCCTGTCCGCCTGCCGGTGCACCTGCCTCTCCCGCTGCTGGTCTGCCTGCTCTGGCAGCAGCGGCTCTGTCAGAACAGACGAGGATCGGCCTGTTGGAGCAGTTGTTCGTTTGGGTGAGGTCCCTCCTCCTTGGACGAGACGACGCATCAGAATGCTTTCCGCTCTAAGACGAGGCACACAAAGACAACGGAGATGACCAAATGGACCAGCATCCCTATGATACTGTCATCGTGTTATATCTCAGAACAACAGATGGGAATGCTCCATGTTTGGGCTAAACAAAGAGCCAAGTCAGATTATCAAGCATGGAACAGAGAGCGGTAAATGATCCATTCACCATAAATAAAGGTGGAAACATGAAATAAAACACCAGCGTCTCAACTTAAATCTTTAGTCTGCCTTTAAAAAGTACTATCAAGCAGGATTTGTCAGACATACTCTAGACTCTGAGCGTTTAATGAGTTTATGTTGCCACCTTGTGGCCATTACTAAACCCCACTATAAATATCCCACCAGTAAGAACAATAGAAAGCTGCTCCTTATTATTATTTTTTGTTTGTTTATTTTTGCCAAACATATGCTACGTCTTTTTAAAGTTAAATAAATGCTTTCTTTTTATCCTTGCATCATCCTGTATCCCCCATTTGTCTCCATAAAAACAGGTGCTGTTACTACATTTGTTTTTGGAGGGTGAGAAGGAAAAAAGTAAACAATTTCTAGTCATTAGTGGATGAACGACATGTCAGTGATTTAAAAAGCAGGAAGTAGACACGATGTACTTTGCAGAACAGCATAACATTAGGAATGTTTTCCTCATTAAATTTTAAAACCAACAACTTTAACTAAAGGAAAGAGTTACATCACTTTAGGCAAGATCATGTTATTGTTGTATTGACCTTTTTTCTTCTTCTTACTTCTGGTTTTACAATGAACAGCAGCATTCACTGAATGCTGTTGTTCATTGTAAAAGTAAAAAAAAAAAAGACTTTTTACAATTTCTCACATTAAAACCACAACTTCAATGAACCCCATAGGTAAGTAGTGCATAACAGAGAAGCTGAAGGAAAATGATACATACCTTTCAACATTTTTCACAAGTAAAAACTTTAAGTGTGACTTGTATTTGTATTCAGTTCAATTCAGTCCAATCCGCCTAACAAAACAGCACCAGCCACATCCGGAAGATATGATAAAACATACTTTAATATGAATCCATCTGTTAAGGCCTAACACACAGTAGACAGGCAGCAGATAAAATTATGGAGATGCTTATAAAATCATATCCCAGGCATTGTACAACTTGTTCATCTCTATTTAAACCATTTTCTGAAAATGAAAAATGTAAGAAACATCAGATAACCTTCAGATATTTAAAGCTCAGGTGGAAAAAAAAATCTGCTGATAAATGTTAGTCGTGTCCTACACTAATATGGCCTCACTGGCACAAAGATACAACAAACATGTGGATAAGAGTGCTCTGGGCAGATGAAATCACAATGCATCTTTTTAGCTAACCTACAAAAAGTCAAAATTTGGTGGCGGCAGCACCTTGACGTGAGAAGGCAGGGACATAAAAGCAGCTCAGAGTTAAAAGAAAGATGGATTTTGTTTAGTACAAGGTAATCCTGGAGGACAATCTGATGAAGTCTGACATTGGTTGACCATCAAGTAGGACGTAAGTGTAAAGAAACAGCTACAATTGGATCAAACAATATTCACTCAAGTCCACACTTGAAAAACAGGCATTTCTTTATGCTTACAGAAACCAAACCAACCCTCTTGGTTGAATAACATTTGTAATTTAAATCTTCCAAGGGTATGAATAACTGGATTAACTTTGTACCTACGCTGTCCTGAGCTTCACCTCAAGCCCCTCCCACTGCCCGGAGCTTTCGCTACCTTTAATCACAAGAACTACAACAGGAAACAATAAAAAAAAATACTCGCGCAGAAAGCAGAAAAACACACGAGATTTTGCACTTTTATTTGACGCAAAAAAAAAAGAAGGAATAAAAAGTGTTGTAACGCAAACTCATTAAAGACGTGCTCGCTCTGACGGTGGATATTCCAGAGAGCCCCTGAACGCAGCATGCTCGACACCAGCTGGTTGTAACCGGGCGGTGGGAGGGGGAGAAGGAGGGATTGTTTAGTGACAGCTTTCGGGGACCCGCCCGCCGTGACAGCGGCAGCAGCGGCGTCGACTTGTGCGGCTCTGACAACTCCCTCCGCTACAAATAACCCCCCCCCCCTCTCCCGAAGCATAGCCCATTAAAGCCTCCCGGCCCGGCTCTTTTTGACGGAATAACTTCTCACACAACTTAATGAAGTGCTCGCTCATTGTTGTGCCCAGGACTGCTACTGTGGCTTTCCGCGTCAGAGCAGCAACAGAGATGTAAACGCCAAATTGCACTACCGCATCTTCCTCTTCATATGCTTCTGACATAACGAGGAGCCGAGAAGTGACAGAGGTATTTTTGGGCGTTCTTTTTGGTGACTTGTTTATGTTTGCTGTGCCTTTTGGAGCCATTGTAATAAAACAGAGCTGCGTTTAAAAGCAGCGGCAATGATTTTCATAAAGTCGGTGCAACCTTAGCACCCACATCGAGTCTTCCTTAAATGTCTCGCACTGGGCCTCACCTTTTAAAGACTTAGCAAATGTCCATGTTTTTTTATAGGTCACAAAACTTTAAAAGTAGGTCTTTCTGCGTGGCTTTCTACCATTTCTATTTCTACCCCTCTGCAAATTAGCTCATCGCACTTATTGCCTCGCAAGCGCTGATTAAAATGTCCAACAGGTGCGTTAACCTGCGCTGACATAAAGGTTCTCAAGGTGCCGCAATGTTAAAACAGTAAGTTAAAACTCATTTGAGACCTGTATTTATGAGTCTAAACTGACCTTTTTAGCTAATTAATTGCTCCAGAATGCAGACTGAAGTTCTTTTTTTCTTATTTTATCCGGAAAATTTGACCTGAGTATATTTTATAGACCGCTGCTAAAACTTAGAGTTAAATTATAACTAAGCGAATAAAGCTATTTTATTATTATTATTATTATTATTTTATTTAAGAATGTGATGTTCCATCTGTGCTGGGACGTTTTGCATTCAACTCTTCAGCTCTATGTTAATGCACACATCTTTTGGTAAGGAGTTTCTTAAACATGTTTATCTTTGCTCAAAATGCAGTTTCTGCTTCCTGAAGCGATAGTGTGGCATCATCTTTAATGCTGGGATCAGCTGCAGCATTGTGCCTTCGAGCTAGTAGTGAACCATTTGGTGCCATGGCTTGAACCTTCTTTTAGGGTAGCGGAGTTAAAAATGAAGCTAATCTAAAAGTGCAATTAGTTGCAGTCCCCCGACTGTCCACTAGAGGCTGATTAAGTGAAGTAAGCCAGTTCTCATAGGTAGCAGTTTGGAGATTTTCTTGATAAAAACATCAAAGGATTCTCGTGCTTCTACTGCAGCCTTGCATCTATTAAGGGCTTGACAAGTTAGTAATCTGATCTATGACAAAACATCTACTTCAATTCTGATTGGCTGCTGCAAGAGGACAGAGCAGTTGAGATGGATTTATACAGGACAACATCCATACTAGCTATTTCCACCCCAAGACAATTAATAGTACACATTTGCACAAATTTGTGTGGTGATGTGAATGCTGTTTTTGGACTATTTAACTACTAATAAAAAAGAGAGAACATTGCCTAACATTTTTCCTTAATCATGTCAGTTTTATTATTCCCTCTCAGACCTGTCAGCTGCAGCCCTTTGTGCTGATTCTTTTCCCTTGCGGCTGGACGAGACATGAATGAGTTTGTTATTCTGCAATAGACCCTAAAGTAAAGTGAAAACATTTTATGTGCGGTGAGTCTTGCGCCGTTCAAGACCAAAGGTGGATTGTAATGCGTTGCATTTATTACTTTTAAAACGTACTTCTAAAAGTAGTTTAACCGGACCGTACCCCATAATACGACAGTTCTAATTAAAAATAAACATTTTGCAAATTAAAATGAATTTATTTTAGTTACTCCTCTTACCTTTGTTATTATATTAGGTATAATTAGGTGTAATAATTAGGTTGAACCAACATGCACAGAAGGAAATAAACATCAACATAAATTATGGCACTGATTTGAAAAAAATTATGTGGTGAAAATTTGTTTCTTGCAATCTAATTTATCTTGTAAGAATGTTATTTATTGTATTATTTAAAAAAAAATGCCAGATTTTGTTCATTTCATAATTTTGTGTCAAATTATCTCTTCAAAAAACTAAACCAAGCAAGTCTTTTCATCAAATAGATTTCTTCCTTGTTTACATTTTTTTTAGCTATTTTTGTAATTCTGCACTCAAGTCAGAAACTTTATTCTTGAGTGCAGTTTTTGGCTACTCGCCACACTTCGGTTCAAGACTCATTATTGCAGAGTTATTATAGAACATTATCCTCTCTCATTCTGAAGATGAAGAATATGGCACAACAAACCTACCAGAACATGACCACAAATCTGACCTTTGTTGAAGAGTGCCAAGACGTTTGTAGGTTTGCCACAAGCTGCCCTAGTCAGACTTTTTGCTTCCATGCAAAACACTATTTGCTAGCACTTCACATCAACACGCCATCTCTACTTTGAAAGATGGTCATGGCACAATCATGCTGTGGGGATGTTTTTCTTCAGCAGGCTCTAAAGTATTTTGCAAAGGATGGTCTAAATTTCCAGTTTAACTTGAAGAGCTGCTGCTCTATTCATCTCTCCCCTTCACCTCACGACTTTTACTCAGGATACACTTTGGGTGTGAAATGAGGTGACCTCTCTCATTTAGGCAAAGGCTCTGCCTTTACTCTCAGGACAAATATCTTTCTGTATCCTGACTGTGAGTACCACTTTCTTTTCTGCTCTCTTCGTCTTTTCTGATTCCGTTTAAAATTCATGGAAATTATGAATGTGTTGTGCTCTCTAACGATGATGGCCACAACCCTTTATACGAGCACGTTGTCCTTGTTTTCATGCGGAATCTTTCCGAATGCGTCACCCCTTTCTTTGAGTTCTAGCACGGTAAAGGTCAATGAAATGTTTAGTTACTCAGAATAAACGAGCACGAAAGTGGACTAATTTATCCAATCATTGCAACTTGTATACAATTTATAGTTCTTCTTAATAGGAAATAAAAAGTTCTGCTGGAATTCTGGAATATTGAACAATCTTGTTCGCCTCTTTCATCTGCATGTCTGTAGCATCTCATCTTTTATTGTTTATGCAGAGGAAGATGGAGGTCCAAAGTGGCGTTCAGGAGCCAGAGCCCTGCCCACTGGACTCTCCTCAGTCGGTGGCCAGTCAGCAGAATGAAGCGAAAGACGGACAGATGGATACGAGTGGCCGGACGTCCGCTGACGACCAAAGCAAGGACACACACCCGGCAAGCCAGAGAGATGACAAAAAAGTAAGTTTACGACTCCCCCACCTATGCACATCTGCTGGGCCCTGTGCTGCGTCTGGGTGTGTACGTGCATGTGTGTTGAGTGATTACATCCTGTCTGTCCTCCGCATCCCCACTGACTCATTCAGCATGTTATCTCCTGGAGTGCTGAAAGGCGAAGCTGCAATGAGAGTGGTGTGTTTTGTAGTTTTAAGCGGTGTCGAGCATTTTGTGCGAGAGTTACCAAGTGCTGGGAGGACCTGCTTGCACACTGCTGCTGTTACAAGAAAAGTGAAACTGTCGCTCTAGTGGCTCAGCGGTTTCAAAGGAAGTAGGTAATGTGTTTTTATGTTGCTATAAGAACCAATCGGAGCAAACTCGGAACCACAGCCACAGCGTGCACCTTTTAAATTGCTTACTTTTACATGCAGACCGAAGTGGCTTTTACAGTTGCCACATGCGAGCACTGACTCACATTCTCAGACGTATCAAGGCTCTGCCATCTTGGAGCCCTCGGCACATCCGAGAGTGACAGTGAAATCCTTGCTGGCTGTACTCCATCTCAAGGGCATCAATCATGCTTGCCTGGCAAGAGCCAGAACCTCTTTCCGTCAATCAGCCCAAGAGGCTCTGTACGCCTCGGAGCAGAGAAGAGACGGAGGCAGCATAAACACAACAGATATATGAAAACATTCTTGAAGGCTGGACTGAATGCATACCGGCAGCTCTGATTGGAAGGCTTGTCATGACTTGCGCTATTATTTCTGAATCTTTTAGCAGTAATCTGGGTTTTTTTTTTTTTTTTAATATATATATGTAGAAAAGTGTTTAAGAGCTGCAACCTTCATACTGTTGAAGAAACTTTTGGTCTCAGACATTCTCTGGCTTCCCATTCAAAGGACTAAATCATAAGAAAAGTTATATACATGCATACCAGTTATACAACAAATTATGCATTATATTAAATTCTTTTTCTCAGATCCTTCCTTCTGTATTTTCTACCATTAAAGTCTCTTCAATACGTTGGATCATAAAGGGAAGAGAATTGAATCCTCAACTTTGTAAATAATTTTTTTTCTTTATCAGTGCTTGGTTTTAAAGTTTCACTTTAAAAAAAAGACTCTGTCTGTGTGTGTGTTCAATGCCAATGCATCCAAACCCAAGAGTGAAGAAGTAAACGATGAAAGCTGTGGTGATTGTTGCTCCAGTAGAAGGTTTTGTGCTTCAGCCTGGGTATTTTTCCTTTGGCTGCTGGTGCTGCATTGTGAAGCAATGAGACATAAAGGTGTTGGCCTTTGAAATTTAAGAGTTCCTAACAAGCTCAAGTGGTTCTGCCTCTGTCGTTAAATCCATTTCTGGCTGCGTGAAGCAAAGTGGTAGGGGTGCTTTCTCTCTCTCTCTCTCTTTGTTTATTTACTCTTTTTTTTTGTTCTTTTTCTATCTTTGTTGTTAATTAGCAATGCAGCACTTCCTCTAAAGGTTGCCCTGGGAATGCGATTCCCTCTGTCACTGCCAGGCCAACTGGTTGGCAAGCTGGCTGCTGCCTAATTCATTTCTGTTTTTAGTGTGTTAATTTATCAAGGCATCACCAGTGGAAGTGGATCACTGCTCTTATTGCGCTGAAATGTTACCAGCATCTCGTCTGTTTTGCCGTGCATCAGTAATACATCGTAAAAAATGAGAACAGTTTGACCTGTGGTGGTACAAGGCCGTCCTGTGCTCACTCAGCTGTTGTGTAAAGGTTAGGAAAGTCATCCGGGAAAAGTTAATTTGCTCTTTTAAACCCCCAGGCTGGCTCCTGTGTCTGGTTTACCCAGGGGTAAGAGAAATGAAGTCAAGGCTTAGAATTCATTTTACTCTCAGATATGTGCTGATGAAGTACTCTTCAGTGAGCAGTTAATCAGCTGATGCTCATCGCTATGATATCCGCTTACAGTAGAAGTCGGGGGCTGTGCCTGGGCTTCAGCAGTTTTTGAACCAAGTTGGTGTTTTAAAAAAAAATCATATCAGTGACAGTATTGTGTCCCTAATTTCGAATCCACACATTTGAAACCATTCAATCGATTGTGTAGAAAAGTTAGATTAGTTCTTTTTTTCCCCCCCTCACTTATCAAAGAATTAGTATAAGGCAAATATTGCAACTTTAATTCCTTTTGGCAATGATCCTGCAATCTTAACATAGCTTTGCATCTGAGGTTTTTTCCATATTTTTGGCAGAAACATTTAGGCTCCATTAAGCTGGAGATGGAATGTTTATGCACAGCTATTTTTCTAATTGCAACCTACTCTGAGCCGAAACCACTAAGAAGAGTTGTGCTGTTTGTGCAGCTATGCTATTGTATTGCTCTTTATTTTCTTACAATCTTATCTGTTGCTACCTTAAAAATTCTTGCAATCACTGTGTCAGTAGACCAGTTTGATAAAATTATTGGTCCTGTACCATTGTAGTTATGATTGTTAATTGGGGATCCACCAGTTTGAACATTTTGGCCGATATTTAATATTAATCATACTATTACAGCCCATAACTGATATTTACTGTATTTATTGTAAATCTCAGTCCGCTTTGAAAAAACAGTCATGCAGCTGACATTGCGTCTCTGCATTAAGAAATGTTTGTGTTTAAAACACAAACATAAATAGCGACAAGATAAAAATAAACATCCAGTTTTCATCAGACTAGTTTTACGTTTATTATGTTAGAAAATGACTACAATTAGCAGACACCAATGCTGCTGTATTGTGCAGTTCTGATTTTAATGGATACTTTCATTCACCTGTCGTGTATTGTGCCCAAATATTTTATTTCATTTTTTTTATCATGTTGGTCCGAGAAGCAGTTTTAAACTTCCATAGAGTTGACTAGTGACTGAAAAGCTAAATTCTCTAGTATTCCCCATTTAAAAAAATAATATTTCAAGAAACAATTTCTTTAACTAAATATCCAAAAAGGTGAAATGCGTCCACACACCTCCCCAAAGCTGTAGATGACGTCATCTTACAGATAAATGAACGACGGTTATTGGGAGTTGCGTTCAATTGGTGACTTCCATGGTGATTGACCTTAAAATGCCTTAATTGGGACCCAGATTCAAAATGTGGAACAAGGTCATAATAGTTCCACTATAATAACCCAAATGAGTTAAATTATTCTTAATTGATCCATTTTAGTTGTGCTTGCCTCAGTGTTTTATGGAAAATACCTTAAAGGATCAGGTTAACTTGCCCTTTCAAGAACGAAGCTTTGTGAAGATGACCCTGCTTTTAACCCCAACAGGATCTCTGCCACTTCTGACCCCGACCTCGCGCTGATCCATGACACCCGCTGGAGTGCGGTACATAACCTTTACACCAACCCAAGGGAGTGCTTCATGCGTGTGCCTCATCATGATGACATGAGCCTCTGTGCTTATTATTTTGCAATTAGCTTTGCTCAAATCTCCCAACATCAGCCAACCCCCAATGTTGATGAGCTGCGCTGCTGATTTGAAGTGTTGCAGTAATTGGTGTTATAGCGGCCCAGTGACCTTTAACTCATTAACTTCACTGAAAGCAGAAATAAGTCAGCGAGGAAAAAGCCTGTGGCTGCATGTAGGAGTTGGCTTGCTGATCCTGCAGTTTTATAATTATTCGCTGCAGTTCCCTATGAAGAATGTCTTTGTGAGTGTGTTGATGTTGGTGCTTGGATGCACTGTGTTGCTGCAGATGGCTCATTTTTATCTCTCATATGCATGTAAAACAGAATCATCTTTTTTCTCACTGTGGTAAATTGTGTTTTCTATCCATTAGAAATGAATCACTGAGGACTGAGCCTTTACGCATGCAGCGAAATAGGGGGACTAGTGATTACTGTGGTTATATTTGACTACACAAACGAGAAACATTAAAAACAGAGGAGATTATATTGAATTGCTTTGACTATGTGTGGATCTTCAAATGAGTGATCAGAAAACGTAGCTGAATAAAAGTTATTGACCAGTTAAATCAACTGATGTCGGACTGAATCGATTTTAGGGAACTTTGCTGACTTTGCGGTGTCTTGTTGTCCAGATGGTCTTGAACATTTTCTTAACAGCGATATGCTCACCATGATTTTTAAGGCAAGTGTAAAAGCGGATGGTTTCTCACCCTGCTTAGCAATATGGCATCAGCTGCACTGTGGCAGTTTTAGTTCTGATTCACCACAGTTCAATATGTAGCCCATAAAGTCTGAACCTTGTCAGCAGTTTGACCTTTTAAATTTCTTATCCAACTTCCCTACTTAGGATCTTTCAAAATAATCTGCATGTGCACGAATATAATAAAGATCTTGTTTAAAAAAAATACTAAAAAATTGTCACTGTTTAAAACCAAGACCTAGTCTTATATGATAATGCAATGATTTGACAAAAATATTGCCCCTTTTTGTCCTACATTTTGTAGATTACCTTTGTGGTAGCTGGCAGGGCCCAGATAATTAACTTTTGTCATTTCTCCTCCCACACTTTGCTTTTGAAGTTGTAGCCGCACGGCCGTCTGGCTGCAGGAGCTCAAATAGCATCCCAGCATCCCATCGATTTCAGCCTCCATCTCCGGATATCAGTGCCTTGAAGGAGCAGTCCCAGTCTGCCTCAACTCTCCACAGGTTGATCATTACACCAATGTACCTGATCGACAAGTGTCCAGTTGGTTATTAAATTGGAAAAATAAAAATGCCCTGTGGACATGGCGGTGACTAATTTTATTGTATATTATATGTAAAGTCCTGGGTCTGTCTCTCCAAGAACTCTAAAATCGGTACTGAAGATACGAAAATGCATAATCAGAAAGTGCATGGGGGAATTTTTTTTTTTTTTTAGATAAACATGAAGACCAGACTGAAGTTTTCTTAAGAGGAAGATAAGTCCAAATTGATTTTGACATTATAAGACGTTTCTACAAAATGTTGCTTTGTGGTAAGATCAACAATGCATCTAGCAAAAGCAACATAAAAACATGTGTAACACAAAACCTGATCTGAAACTTTGACTTTCTAAGTTTGGCAAAATGCATGTATTAGATTAATTCATTGCATATTGCAAAACGTAGTGCTTAGTAGGTCGTCTTCTTATTGTGGGCTGGAGGATTTGCAAGATGCAAAGGAAAGTGAAAGTGAATTTAAAGTTATTTTGATATGAAGGCTGAACAGTAAAATGAAGTCGTCTTGCTCTCCAGACCCAGGAGAGCCATGGTCTGGAAATTAACTACATTTTCTTATGACATTATTTCATAAATAAAATAAATACTACATATTCCTATCAGAGGCAGTTAATGTTTTGCCTTGAGTGTTGAGAGCAGGATGTAATTGGGTTAACTCCTTGTTTGGTGACCAAGGTCAAGTCTTAGTGTGAGATCTTATGTATTAGGGACAGACGATCATTAGGGAGGACGTGGAGCAGAACGAACAATTTATGTCACTCCAATTCTGAATATTATGTGCTCTAAACATAAGCTGGCCAGAGACCAATGTTGAAATGCAGGTTTATGTTTTGCATGTAAAGACGATTCCTTTGCAGAAAAAACCCATACAGAATTCAGCTCTGATGTAGACGGTGAAGAATGCTAATTAGCTATTTGTGGAGACTTTTTTTTTCCCCCAGCTATTTTAGTCTGCTTTCCCTTTAATCTGACACACTAAAGTACAGGTGGTGATCAGACTCTTCAAATGTCTTTTATCAGCAGTTCTATTTTTTCCCCTCATACAGCACATGTACACTACTTCTGTTCAGAGCACACACTTTCAGCATAAACATGGACAACACAGAGACCCTCGCATACTAACTCGAGCAGATCTACAGTGTCATAGCATCAGCAGATCACAGGAACCTTATTAGCTGCTGTCACAGAACATTTATGCCTCGTCTGTTTCTGAGAGCCGTCATGAGCAAAAGGTTGCTCTTTGCTACAAAGTGGCCACCCGACTGTTTTTTTTTTTTTTTTTTTACTTCGTTCTAATGGAGAGCAGCGGCTTGGGTCATCTCTATCTGTGGCTAGGTATAAAGAAGGGTGATTTCTGTCTGAAAATAGCCCCACTGTCAGCTCGCCTTAGTTGCCGCGGCTGCTGAGAGAATCAGTTAAGTGGATCAGCACTCACTGGAGAGTCTGACTTTGTGGCAAGACACGGTGCTTTGATGGGATCAACAGCTGCCCCTAATCTCTTCTCGGTACAAAAGTCACTGGCCACTGCCTGACTCTAGCATCAGATTCAGCTGATTGTCAGTTTTTAAACACATATCAATCTTTTCTGTTCTTGGTTAGTGTTTTTGTTAGATGTAATACTTGAGATCCATGGATTTAAGTGACTGTGTTTTTTTTTTTTTTTTTTTTTTTTTTTTTTAACCCAAAAATGCGGAACTGTGTATTTGGGATTTTTGTGGAAAACCACAAAAAA